AATCTAATGATCCCAAGCTTTATTTTAGAGGAAGATGCATCTTCAATTATTAAACTCATTCTCGCTAAGGAAGACATCCTGTCTGACTTAGGCTTGATTCTTGAGGACATATGCTTAGCCTTACTAGATCAACTTTGTATTGATGTCAAATGGATACCAAGGGAGGTAAATAAGAGGTTGCGCATACCTTAGCCAACCAAGCAAAGATTGCCACCCTTCATGAATCTCTTTGGTCTGCTCCTCCAAATTTTGTCAAGCAAATCGTACTGGACGGTTTCCAGTAATCTCAGTAATAAAATTTTTTTGTTGTTTTCTTATCAAAAAAGAAACTGAAAAGTCTTTCAATTTTCTCCTATCCTATTAATCAATTATAATGAAATTCTTTTAAGATATGAAGATTCTTCGATTTGAAAATTGCAACACCATAACATTTTGATAATTTGCTATTGTCATATTACTATAATACAACAAATAGCCAACGTTATCAATGATTGGACGGATGGAACCCTTCAATTTTAAGAATATTTGTATTTGAACTTTTATGTGTGCAATAATAGCACTATGCATGTGAATCACGTAGCTTATAAATGGTCAAAAACCAAAATGGGTACGTAACCCTAAGGTGCCTAAACTCATTCAGGAAATCGTACTTAAACATTATAGTCCTTTAGCTTTATTAGACAAATCAATTCGATCCCTGTCAATAGTTTAGCTTTCCCCAAAAAATTTGACATTATCTCGGAGTGTAGAAAATTAGGCCATTTCATAAGCTCCATAAGAGCTAATACAGCATCATTTGGACATGATTTTGGTGCAATATTTTGTTAGTCTTAAGTCTATGACAAAATGTAAGGGAAAAAATTATGCTTCAATTTGTAAGAGTTTTATTTAATAATCAGTCGTTTATTAGTAATTGTATTTTTTATTTAACAAAATGTAAGGTTGTGGCTTTTCAGTTCGTTCATTTTTATTTCAACTTGATGTTATAAAGTTTATGAAAGACAGTGAATTTTCCAATATTTGGTTCAGAATTATACGAAAATGTTCAGGTCACATGGAATTCTAACTAGACTAAAATGCAAGATGTATCACCAATACGGCCTTCCTTATATAAAAAAAAATCTAATTCCATGCATCAAAATTGTGGGGGAAAGAAACAATTTTCATTAAGCTTTTATATCATAACTAGGTGTAAAAGAAGAGCATCCACATGCCACATTATTGTTTTTCTTTTTCCTTCTTTTAGCTATAACCTAAAAGTAATTAGCCCACGAAATTTGCACTCACAACAGCACCATAATCAATTAAAAAACTTCCAACATTTAACAAAAGTTATTTTCTTAATATACTGCAGCAATTTTTTGTTTGAACATTACAAGCACTTTTCTTATGATTTCTGCAAAGGGCATTACATAATCATCCTGTTTTGCCTCAAGGAAATGACGTGAATGAAAACAATGGTCATCACCACAATAATACAAGCTGCCAAAGACCAAGAAAGTGATGGGGTCTAATTATTGGACTGTAGGTTTGACTTACATCTCCTTCTCATGACTGAATTACAACCTAGGGGGCGTTTGGTAAAAGGGTATCGGAATGAAGTAATGAAATAAACTCCATAATTAGTGTTTGGTATGGGAATTGAAATTTTGGAATGATTTCTAAAAATTTGGCAACCCTCCATTCCTTAATAAAGGGGTGGGTTTTGTCCAAAATCCAAGTATGATTCCAAAATCTTATAATTACATAATATTTAGTATAATTAATATTTATATATATTATAACATTTTTATAATTAATAATTAATTATTATAACATTTGTATAATTATAATTAATTATATATAATATTTAATTTAATTAGTTACAAACTTATAATAATGATATTATTATATTATATAATTATATATTATAATTATTTAGCTAAATATAATTATACTTATATAATATATATTATAAATTTCATAATATTATATAATAATATATTTATAATATACATGTCTATTATATGTGCATATAATTATAATATATACATATATGTAATATTAATAAGTTATATAATTATAATTACAATTATTATTTTAAATATAATAATATATAATAATAACTATATTTAATATGTAATATATATTATATTTATATAAAATATTAGTATAATTAATATTTGTATATATTATATAATTATAAATATATATTTATGTCTAATTATATATAATATTTAATTTAATTAGTTACAAACTTATAATAATGATATTATTATATTATATAATTATATATTATAATTATTTAGTTAAATATAATTATACTTATATAATATATATTATAAATTTATTAATATTATATAATAATATATTTATAATATAAATGTCTATTATATGTGCATATAATTATAATATATACACGTATGTAATATTAATAAGTTATATAATTATAATTACAATTATTATTTTAAATATAATAATAACTATATTTAATATGTAATATATATTATATTTATATAAAATATTTGTATAATTAATATTTGTATATATTATATAATTGTAATTATATATTTATGTCTAATTATATATAATATTTAATTTAATTAGTTACGAACTTATAATAATATTATTATTAGTTATATGTATTATATAATGTATATTAATTTATGTAATATAATTAATATTATCAATTATACTAATAACTAAACATGTTTACTAATAGAAATTTTTAATTAGTTAGACTAAATTTACTAATACATTTATATTAATATATTTAATTAGTGAAAATTTCTTATATCCCATTTACAAAGAGCCAATAACAATTATTTACGATGTGGTTTATAATATATTTATTATATTCCATTCTGAAAGAGTCGACGAATCAAACATCAACTATAGTAATGACACAAATTCCAGGTATTTGAACCAAACAAATGTATTGGAATGAATGATCTCGTTCCAAACCCAGGATATCCGATTCCGAATCCGAATCCGATTCCGATGTGCGAGCCAAATGCCACCCCAGTTCTTTATGGAAGATCTTCCTTTTTTTTTTATCTTTGTCCTTTTTCTTGGGGCCAGAGAATAATTTGTGGAAGTTGAGTGATGCTATTCACCTCCTAATTAAGAAGATAACATAATTAAATTACTCAATATTTTCAAAAACCACAATTATTAACCCCTCATTGTTCATAAGATGTCATGCTTAATAGTGTAAGTTGATTATAGGAGGGCTAATTAGCAAGGCATCTGCAGCATAAGTTGATATTTGCATCTTTTCATTTTGTTTTTTACAATAGATACAAGTGAAATAACTTTACTTCACAAATATACGTTAGTATAGCTTTCTTGTTTATTCCAAAGGTATCATTAGTAGAAAGTTAACAACTTCTAAAATACACCTTTCTTGTATATTTGTGTGGCTCACTAACAAATTAACCTTGGTTTTAATACTTTAATTAGTTCTCGAGCCTTAGAAGTTGATTGAAAAGGCTTGTTTTCAAGTCTTATAGTTGTGAGTTGTACAACATACTTTAGTCTCACCCTTTACAAGTTATTATATCACATGAACTCCTGTCCTCCAATTGTTGTAACACCCAATCATAAGTTTTTTTTTCCTTCGAAAATTCTCTGCCTGATCTCAAAATCAATTACATTCTTCTACAATTAAGACCCCCTCCTCCCACCAACAACCCCACCACAAAAAAAAAAAAAAAAAAAAAAGTCAACAATGTCAAGCTATCCCTACTTCCCCAGAATCTTGCCCTGCTGAGGCTCAAAAATTTGCAGCAAGCCCTATGCTAGACACGCCTTTCACCATAACGCAACTTCAGAGAACTGTGCAATCCTGAGATACACTTGTTAGAACCAGAAGACCAAAGATGCAATTATTCCTACCCCAAAAAAAACGAGAGAGAGAGAGAGATGCAGTTATAAAATCATTTGCCAGCCATTGCACTTTGTCACCAACGAGAAATAAAAGAAACAAATTAAGGAGATTTTTTTAAAAAAAAAAAAAATTTGCTATGGATTAGACATTTGAACCACTTGAAAATGTCTTTGTTTTTCTATTTTGTGCGATCTTCTTTTCCTATATGATTGCGTCATCAAATTTTATTCTAATCAGTGTATAAAAACTTTGGCTAAAACGGAAACGAGCAAGAATCCAAGTCTAGTTTCAGTTGTTGCAGGGGAACTCGTCAGCTACCAATCATATGCTTGGCATATTCCTTACGGTTCCTTTTATACTCAAATTAAGCCTATTTGATTGCTTATTTCTTGATACAGATTTGTCTAGTCAGGCAAGAATCTTTTGAGAGTGTTTATAAACCCCAATGACAAATTTAAGTAACAAATGTGAAGTTCTGATTTGACGCAAATATTCAGATTATGTGGTTGCATTTTATATAATCATTTAGTCTTGAGTCTTATGGTCCAATTAAGATGCTCTTAGGTGATATGCCATGTGAGAACCCAAAAAAAAATTTAGTTTATAAACTCTCTTATTCTTGCCTTAATTTCATGGTAATTTTCTTGATTGAGTCAAGAGTTATATCATTCCCCTTTTATATTTTAGTGCATGTTAAGTTCCGTAGAGAATTAAAGTAGTTGACCGATTAGTGAGATGTGTGCGTTAAATTTGGTGGACGAGAACGAGTGTGGTATTAGAGGGAGTATATGATTAGAAGTGTTAAGAGTGTATTAGAGGAAACGAGATGGATTAGCTATAAGAACCACAAGGGAAAACAAAGAGATAGGCATGAACTAACTCGAGCCGTTTGTTATCGATCAAGCACACCACTTGACCAAGACTTTCTTTTCCCTAATCTTCTTATTTTTCTTTCATTTTTCTTTCCCTAATTTTTCCCTATGGCTGGCTGAAATTATTGACCAAAAAAGAGAGGAAAAAGAACAAAAATAAGGGACCGTTTGTTTCAATGTAAAATTTTTTCCCAAGGAGAACATTTTCAATGAAAATAATTTTCCTGAAAAAATTTTCATTTTCATTTATTTTCCAGTGTTTGGTGCAGTTTTATGAAAATGCACCACAAAACTAAAACCTACAAGAAGAAGATTCCCCGGTAGAATCCCTCCAACTACCGTCATCTCACGTACACTGGATCTACCATCTCAACCAGAGATTCTTTCAATCTCCAAATCTATCAAACTTCAGAAAGGAATTCATAATTTCTCAGACCAATTACACATCATACCAATAAAGATTCAAATTAATAATATGTCAATAAAAATTACTTCAGTAATTAAAACCTTATAATTGATCAATCATCATACGGAAAAGCAGCTCTTGAATTCTGTTGCAAACTTTTCTGCATAAAAGTCTTCCTCCATTCTATCTCCTTCACTTTTCCAGATTTCTCTCACCCAAAAACTTATCAAGACCCGCTCTCGGTATAGATTTTCTACATCTCCATGGATGCATTGTTTATGCTGGCATGGGAGGAAAGGAGTAGGATAGGCGAAGATGAGGAGGAGGGAAAGGTGGTAGACAATGGGGTTTTTCGTAGCAGGCGCAGGGATGGATTTTTAATGATGGTCTCAGTATTGGTATTTCTTATTTTTTGTGAGTATCTTAATAGGTAAGCCCTGAAATGGCTGATTGGCTTCATGAGTTTGATGGAAATTAACTTCTGTATGTCTGCTCTTTAAGTTATTTTACGTCCCGTAGCGTAAAACATTTTACACTGGAAAATATTTGCCTAACGCCTTCTACTGTCAAACACCAGAAAATCGGAAAACTATTTTCTGGAAAATATTTTGAATTCAAACAAACAGACCCTAAGAGGAAAAATGGTAGAGCGACAACTCTTGGCCATCAAGCCAACTTGACCAAAGACCATTCTAGTCTTTATCTTGTAAATTCTCCTCAAACCTATTCATTTGCTTCCTTCTTTGGCCGAGCAAGAGAGAGAGAGAAAAAAAAAAAAGATAAAAGAAAGCTTCATTTTGTTTGAGTGAAGATCAACAAGAATCACAAATCTAAACCGAACAAAGTTACAATAAGGTAGCAAGGAAGCTTATAGTGGAGATTTTTGGAGAGTGAAGCCTTGGTTTTTCACTTTCTCCTAGAGGTATTAAGGTACTGAGTTGGAAGACTCCCTTTATCTTTCTTATCTTGCAATTTTTTTTGGAAGATGTCTTGAAATTGGAAGTTTTATGGATGACAACCTAGATTTGTGAAGATTGGTGAAATTTCCAGCATAGGGTTTTATTTTTTTCAGCCTTGTTTTATATTTTTCATCCATGATATGATGGTATCTAGCTTTGTTATGGACTTGTACGAGACTTGTAACTAGAAAGATTGGATCTTTGATGGGTTGTTGATGGGTTTCTTTGAAAATCTTGATTTAGGTAGATAACTTGAGGAAATTTTCTATTTTGAATGCTTCTTGCTGGCCGAAACTTTTGAGTGCTATTAGCTCTTATTTTTCAAAAATTTTGGAAGAAATCTTACTCCACAAACTTTGTTAGATATTAAACTTTGATTGTGAGTTAGATTTGAACCAAAAATTATGAGCCTAAGTGGGAAGGTTGAGTCAAGTGTTGCTGAAAATGTTTTTCGCAGGAGATTCTGAGCAGTTTTGGGAAATCTATTATATCTTTGTGTAGAAAAATCCGAGTTGAGTCTCATTTGTTGCATTTGAAACTAGACTCATAGCTCTTTTAATCGTGTAAAATTCATGGTTTGGTTCACTTTCTATAAATACCAGCAAAATTTCAAATTGGGCTGAAAATTCAAGACTGTCCTATTTTTGCACTTAGTTGAGCAGTGAATTGAGGCTGAAATTTGACTAATTTATGGACTGAATTTTATGGAAGTGCCTTCTAGAGAGTTGTAGACTTTTGAATCTATTTTCTCACGGTATAAGATTTATGAATTTTGGACTTATGAAACTCAAGTTATGACTTTTCAAAGAGCGTTATAAAAATTAGAATGAGGAGTTTTTCTTGAACCTTGTTTGGAAATTTTGAAAGGTTTTGGCCAAATCTTGGATTGGAATTTGTCTCGTTTCCTCTAGCTTTAAAGTGAAATTTTGCTCAACATAACTTGCTAAGCAATTACCCTCGAATGTGCTTTTAAAAGGAGCAACAAGTTTGAATTAAAAAGGGGATGAAAAGCGGAGCGTCATGCCGAGAGTTTTGTGGGAAAATTTCACTTGTTTGATATTCAAAGCTTGGAGGATTGTTGGTGTCTTTGCTAAGATATAAATGGTGGTTTGGTGAAGTTTTGAATTATTGATGTGAATTAAGTGTGAATTATTGGTTTAATAGAACTTTTATGACAAGCTAGAGACGTGAAAGACTATTTTAGAAATGTTAATGAGTGAATCCTGACGAGAACTGAGTAGACGGTCAGCCAAACTCTTGAGTTCGCGCTAGGGGGAGGTGGAAGCGTCATATCCCACATACACATATGGATTAATTGTCAGTTGTCACCCATGTTACCCTTAGATAACATTTAAATTGTGGCAAAACATTGTCAGATAGTAAAGTTTGTACATTTTATTGTCACATTTTATAATATGATTGATACGAATTTGTTTGGATAGGAGTTTATTTGGATGATTTATTTGAAATAGTTACTGTAGCACTTTTGTGATGTGATATACATGAAATAAAAAGGTGATTGGGTAGATAAAAAAACAATTGGAATTTGTGAAGTAAATTATTTTATTTCACAACTATGCAATCCAAACACACTCAGTACTTTTGCTGCCTCTGGCACAAAAATTCTTGGAGTGGCTTGCCAAATATTTGGCATAGTTTGAGATGTCTACGCCTGTGAGCTTCATTGAAAAAAAAAAAACTCTATCCCTCAGTCACTACTTCGTAACATCGAATATTGACCTATCCTTTCTACTATTTATTCAAAAAGTTCGAGAGAAATTACCTAAAAATAAAGGAATATAGTACAAGATGATGAAAGTAAATACAATTGTAGTCTACAAGTAATATAGAGCTTATAACATGTCGTGTATGCATGTGTAGCTAAAGTGACAGCTTAATGTACCCTGCTCAGGCTGCTCTGTGTTCATTGATATGAAGATGATTGGAGTACGTGTTTTAAGAGGTTTTGGGGAAGATGCATCTAAGAAAATCAGCCATCCAATCTTTAAACAGATGCAATATATAGCGTCTTAATGTATTGTGCTTATGGTATATAATTTTTTTATTATGATAGTTTGATAATGTGGGTAACAAATATATGTGTCTTAGTCTTGGGCTTAGAACATGAATATGCGGTAACAAATATAATACTTTTCAATTTTCCTTTGTCATTCTTTTGCTAATGGTGCACTAAGGAGTTCTTTTGCTGAGTTTTATATTTAATTCCCCTAGAAAAAGTTAATGAGATAGGCAGAATTGAACAATGATTAAATCTCACTATTATTTTATATCGCTTTTGAGTTTGGATTTATAAATGTCTATACGCTAGCAAATTGTCCAAAACTGATTTGTTGAAACTTGAAAACCTCCAAATTGAATATTAAATTCTTCAGCCTTTTCTCAATGTTTGATGGAAATACAAACGTCACAGTTCATAAGAGATTCTCTTTTCTTGGCTTTTTTTTTTCTTCTTTCCTGATTGCCATTTTAGATTGACTATATTCTAAAGTGGCTAATTGTTTGGATGGAATTGTTTTTCAAAAATTAATTTTTTAAATATAATAAAAATTTTTAAAAAATGCTTTAAAAATAATTTAAAAATTAATTTAAATTTTTTTAAAATTTTAAAAAATATCTCAAAATATATTCTAAAAACTCTTCTACTCTTAAATATTTTAAAATATTTTTTAAAAATATCCTAAAATATAATTTAAAAAATCTTTTATAGCAAAATTTTTTAAAAATACTCTAAAAACAGCTAATCCAAACGGCACGTAGCTTTAAACAGTGTGCAAGCTACCCAATTTATCCAGTGATCATTGTTCCTACTCCATCATCAGTGAAAATCTCGAGGAGTAATGAGTGCCGTACTCGTCCATCAATTATACTTGCAGCCCTGACACCTTGAGCTACGGACCTCACGCAGCAATCCACCTTTTGAAACATCCCACCTGCAATCTTCCCATCATGCATCATCCTCCTCGCCCCTTTGATATCTACTTCCTTCACCAAACTTCCTGGATCATCTCGCTCCTCTAGAATTCCAGGCACATCAGTCAAAAGAATTAACTTATCAGCTGCCAAGGCAGCAGCAACCTCACCCGCAACTATGTCTGCATTGATGTTGTATGACTGGCCTGTCTTGTCAGCAGCTATAGAGGCAATGACTGGGATATCACCATTGGCAATGAGTGCTCGAAGCCCTGTGGGGTTCACAGTGGCTATATCACCAACGAAGCCAAGCTGAGCAGAATTTCGGGAAGGCCTGGCAGTCAAAAGACGGCCATCCATACCAGATAAGCCAACAGCAAAAGCCCCTGCCTTGTTGATTAAGGTAACAAGATGTTTGTTAACTTTACCCGCCAATACCATCGAAACAATTTCCATGGTTGTTCCATCAGTGACACGACGTCCATTCACAAACTTGGGCTCCATGCCCATCCTACCAAGCCACTGGTTGATTTCAGGACCCTCACCATGGACCATGACAATGCGAATACCAACAAATTGGAGAAGAACCAAGTCAGATATTACAGATGCTTGAAGGGCCTCAGACGCCATGGCTGCACCTCCATATTTGACCACAATTGTCTTGCCATGGAACTTTTGTATATAAGGCAGCGCCTCCGAAAGGAAATCGCCTCTGTTTTGTGCTGACATGGAACGTGCTTCAGGTACAACTACTGGTTCTGATGATGTCTCGCGGCAGGAGCTCTGAAAACTAAGAGAAGGATTGGTATACTTATTCCTACTCCATTTGTTGATGCCTATGTAGTATTTTGAGGTGAGATTAGCATCAGGAGATTTGGATGCTTTTATCAAAGGGGAAGAGAGAGGGAGGGATTTAGCAGACAGCATTTCTTCTGCCTAAGCTCCTTTTGCGTGGACTATTTTGGTCAAAGCAAGAAATCCAAACCAACCACACTCCGAGCAAAATGCGGCGAACTAGGTCAATGAGATCTGCAATAATAAGAGACTCCAAATTGGAACAGCAACAATTAAAATTTGTTTTACAACTGCAAAGCAATATAGTTACGTACAAAAAAGCACACATCGTTGTGTGAAATTTGGGAACAGAAAACAAATTTAGGATGTCAAAATCACAATCTTTATACGTCAAATTCAGAGCCTAGATTACTAATGAAGAGCTCCACTTACAGGTACAAGGAGGGTGTTGGAGGAATTTTTCTCTTCATAGGCTGATAAACAAGCATCTTCCAGATTCCAAAAGGTATTATTCGTAAAAAGAGAAAAAAACAACAAACAAAACTGCCACTGAGGTTCATATAGTACTAGAACAATTAAAGAACTGCTCAAGTGCAAATCATACAAAAAGTTCAGCAACCAGCGAAATTTAAAGCCAGCAAGAGGGTTCAGGAATTTCAAGATTGTCATGTTTTTGTACCATTTGAAACTCATTTCAAAATATAATATTAAAAAATTCATTTTGGGAGAGCGAATACAATTTTATTCCAAGTTTGCCCTTTTCTTGTGATTTCTTAATTATCATAATACGCCGAATTTATAACTTAATCTTTGCAAATTGATCAATGTCTCTTTAACAAATTTTGTGTCATTGGTTCGGACAAAATAGGTTAAATTACTTAAAAATTATGAATAATTTATAGTACGCTTAAAAACAACTTGCAATAATTCATAACCATGAGAATACCGTTTTGAACTAACTTAAAAATAATACAATTATATATATTAGCATGCTGTATCTTTTTAGTTATCAATCCATCGATTTGGGAAAAAAAATTCAAAAATGTGTAAATGATTTATAAATTAACTCAAAACACTTTAATTAAATGAGAGGAGACGAACAAATCCTAGGGTAAATCGGAAGATGAGATAGTGTACATAGAAGGTAAATCGGAAGGGCAAGCATAAATTGGGGGGAAAATCACTAATTTTTTTGGCCAATAAGAATGTTTTTTTAAATATACTTATTAATATTTCGATGCCTTAAAATACCACATAAAACCAGTAAAACGCAGCTATATCTTCTTAAGAAGCATAAGCAAAAGCTTATCATAAGAGTAAATAGCCAAACATATAACACTAATATTAAAATATTTAAAAATATCAGCCCATATAATATTAACAAAAATTTCAGCAGATTAATGATACGAATCAAAGGTAAACTAACCTGGAATGAACAGAATTTTTACTGCAAAACCTTTTCTATTTTCGGACCAAAGCTGAAAATTACAAGAAAAAAAATACGGATCAGTAAATATGTTCGTGGTGCAAAAAAAAATAAAGAAAAAAAGAATGGCAAGAAATACCAAAAAAAATCCCTGAATTTTAGGGTAAAAGTGTACGCGTAATCTGTGGAAAAATTTGTGGGTTTCATGTCTGCAAGTACAAATACCTGATAAAAGGAAGAAACTTACAGTGAAAATAAGAAAGAAATTGCGGTGATTGTCAGGCATAAAAAAAGGAAGTGAAAGGGGGAGAAGAAGCAGAGAAGCCCGAGAGAGGAAGGACACAGAACGCTCGCCGCAAAAGGAGGAGACTGGAGATGATCAACTGCGAGGGGGCCACAGAAATGTAGACCATTTGCAAGTTGAACTCAGCAAAATCAAATTCTGGGCCTTGCAACCCAAATCAAATTTATGGGCCTAGAACCTAAAATCCAATTAGGGGCTTATAGCCTGAAACTAAAACCAAAAAAAGAAAAATATGCATGATAGCTTAAAATTTATGGATTCATTATCGGACTTTAGAGCCTTTATATATTATTGTTATTAACGTGTGTTGTTTAGCCCAAATACTACAAGAATGATTCAGAGCCACGAGGCCACTTATGTGACTCTGAATACAAATAATTGGAGTATATATAATAAACAAAATTTGTGCTTGAATGATATAAACTGCAAATTTGTATCTGCGTAATCCTATGAATTTGTTGTGAAGTTCCGTGATTTATTTGGCCTATATGAAGAAGGTACTCTACTTTGATATACTAATTTAGTATTAGGCCACTTTACACGTGGAACATATTCCTCTCTCAATCAAAGTACATTTTGATTGGTGATACATAGACCAAAATGTGCTATTCGTCTTACATTTTAGTTTCTTGTGGCACCAATATAATGGGGTTCCTTACCCCAAAAATATTACAAGACCAGTCTTAATTCGAATTGGATGGGGACAAATAAATGGTTGTAAAGTTAGTTAAGTATAGCCCAGAGAATACACGTCAACTGTGATTAACTTATTCTGAATATTCAGACACATGTCAACTGGGCTGTTTGCAAATCTTTTGGGTCCAAAGGCTACCAATTCATGACTTTGTGGCTAATATTCTTGGGGAGGTGACCATATTTGATGGCTTTGTAGCAGTGGTTCTCAGGTTTCCCCTTTCTAAGAGGCATCTAAACATGAGGAGGAGCTGGCCAAGTGCAGCCCTCCTAATCATCCCAGTTGGAAGCCAGGAATGTCAAAGCAACCAAAAGGGTGTTGATTGATATGTTTGAGCCGGTCCCCAGGCCGAAAGTGTAAAAAGTTATGAGGGTTTCACTTGGAAGTTTGGCAACTGATAAGCTTGTAATGAATGGTTTTTGGTCTCCATTTCTTTATTTTTCCTTTTTTGGGGTGACACTACTGTTTTCCCTTGCTGATGGGGAAGCAATTGCTCCCCTCCTTGCTCATCCTCCTCACAGATCTCTCTCTAAAGCAACTCAACCAGAACTGATATCTCCCTTCATTTTTAGTTAAAACTTTCTTGAAGCAGGTAAGGATTGGGAAAAGGCAAAACCGGCCCCCGTGGGAAGTTGAACTAAAAGTGCGGTTGTTAATTAAGTTGCCTGGATCGAAAAACTCACTCAGGCAAGCAAAATCCATCAACTCTTTTGGTTGGTAAGGATAGTTCTCAAAAGTTAAAACGTAAGTTGAAAGTAGATTCTAAAGCTCATGTTTGAACTCAGAGAGCGTCTGATTGTCCTTCCTTCATCTGCAGCATGGCCATTGATTGGCAAAAACAGAAAGAAAAATTTCTTAGGAAAAGAGAGCATATAATTTGGTCAACTATTACTAAACATAATAATGTGTGTTGTCTTTGAGAATAGCTAGGAAGGGAAAGAAAGAAACACACTAATAATCGTGTGAGAGTTCAAATTTCCAATTAGTTATGTTTTTAGGGATTTGAAGTCCAAACATCTTTGTTAACTATGGTCTAAGATATGGCATAATTTTTCTTGCCCCAAAAAGTTAAATTTTATTTTTCCCTATTAAGTCTAGATTGCCCACTAATGATTCCCATAATGACCCTAAATTGAAAACATTTCTGTTGTTGAAATTACGATTTAGTCATGATGACAGCAAGGAGTAGAATTTAAGAAGCAATTCTCATATTTGCACCAAATAAAAAACGCTTCTATCGATGAAATTACAATTAAGCCACAATGACAAAATTAATACCAATAGATTACAATTCAACATTTTAGCAACTCAAACCACCAATAGTGAAAGTACTTAAACAACATTAAACCACCACTAAAATACTAAAAAAAAAAAAAAACCTTCAAAATTAATATAATATTAGAAGAATGTTAACATTTTCTCACAAAAGTTAACCCTTTTCTTTTCTTTTTTTCTCTTCCCTTATAATAATGATGACCACTCACATTAAGAAATGGCTGGAAATGGTTGCGCGTACAAGACAGGCGACAGCTCAAGTACACAAGGGGTGGTGCAGTCCATTCCCCTCGATCAGCGAAGCATCCGAACGTGTGTTGTTGGTCAATTTGTCACATGGAAGGTCGTAGAAATGTTTGGCTGAACAATGAGTGACCCTCCCCAGCAGCACACATTCACGCACTGAAACACAAAGGAAACCCGTGATTTTTAGCAGCAACTGCTGGTGCTCCTGTTCCCGATTGCCAACTGTATATCCAAGTTGTAGCTCCTGTCTTCTCACATCCCTTTGTCCCTTTCCGGATTTTGACCTTTCCCTTCTTTGATTTTTGAATGACCTAATTGCTTTCTTCTTATGGAAATCATCTTAATAATTGATAACACATGGGGATTTTGTTTCTGAAAATGAAGTGCAAATTTCTTGATTTACTTAAAAATACAAGAAAGAAAGAAAGATAATAAAATATGTCATTATATCAGTAACACCATATATCTGCAAATCTTGTGTTTGGATTGCATTTTCCGTCATTTTTCATGGAAAAATTACTGTAGCGATTTGATATATGTGTGGGAAAAAGGTGATAGGGAAATGTGATCACGGAAAACGATAATATTTTCCGACGGAAACAAGCAATCCAAACAAAAAGTGTTTTTTATTTTTAAATTATTACTATACTCATTTTATCGTGAAGATCATATGTGAATTAAAAATGTAGTTAGGGAACGCGTCAAGAAATTTTTTTAAACATGAGTTTTCTAGAAATACTAGTATATGTGAAACTGATTTTTTTTTCTCCACTTATATTGTTAATTACTAATTTAATAATACTATCTCAAGATATTTTCTATATAAATTTTTATCCTCTCCTTCTAGAAAAAAAATTGATGAGTCTTTTATTTGTGAACTAATGATGAAATTTAAGGGTGTGTTTGGTTGCATTTTTCGTGATTTTTCATGGAAAAATTACTGTAGCGATTTGATGTATGTGAGGGAAAAAGGTAATAGGGAAATGTGATCACGGAAAACGACGTAATTTTTCGATGAAAACCGGCAATCCAAACAAGGCCTAAACTTTCTGCTCTCCTACAATCAATTGTTTTCGATGTTGTGACAAATGAACAATCAAGTCAATAACACCAGGGAGGGAGAGATTGAATAGTACGGGAAGAGAATATAAATGATAAGTTCTGAATCCGAGATCTTCCGCTCATACTTGGAAAAAAAAAATTTCAATGACACCATCATTTGATGCCATGCTTGGGCTCATGCCGATGGACTAATTGGGGTCTACTTAGCTCTTTTGTCGCTGCCCAGACCTGAGTGTTCTTGGACCAGACCTGCCAACAATTACTTGTAGACAAGAGGTATATTATTTTTTATAATATAATGGTCGGTTCAATTGAATTGAAAAGGACAATGACCAAGTAACAAATGGTTTGACATTTAACCATTCCCTTTCTTTTCTTCCCTTTGCAAAGTTTAGAATCTCTATTTTGATATTCTAAATATTTATGAACTATATAAATTGATTGAATTATCAACTGAGCTCAAGTGGACAAATTTGTACCCTTAAAAGTTGCACAAGTCCGCTCCTGCTTAGCTTTATGCATTTACAATTTTTTGTTTATAACTAGACTTAATAATTACTAATACGAGTTTAGTCCCTTGTCTTCTCTAATTTTTGCTAGTATCCATCTAATGTAGCACGTGTATAATCATATTAGTTCTGCCCAAAAACTATCACGAATTAGCATTATTTGATTTTTATAACTAATGGTGTTATCTTA